ACTGAGCGATTCTGTGATTCTGTGAAAATGTGGTCATCGGACCAGGCTTCAGAAACATTTCTAAACTTTAAAGTCCATGATGGGAAAATAAAGCAACATTCAGGTATATTTACAAAGCCCATTTATTTCTACAAGTTAACACTGGCTACATTTGAACTTTCAAGTAATGTGGCACAATAGGAGTGAATACACAGAATTAAACACAATTGGTGTTGAAAACCTGGCATCCACACAATCAGTGTTCAGAAGGTTCTGCTTTGAAGTAGCTCTGGTGGGTTCCCATGCACTCAGCATCCATTAGCAGAGGAGTGTGTTAGGTGTGCTCCTGGAGGGTGTCACGCAGTTTGGTTTTTATCAGAGACAAATGCAGTTTGTGTACTCTGAAGATGCTCCACAGTGACACAGGCCCAAACCCTGGTGAACTACAATGGCAGGAGATGGCCTCAGAAGCAGACTTCTGACCCAAATGTAAATACTAATTAAACCCGTGCACTGTCAATGTAAAAATCTCTCTCAAAATGTTTGCCTAAAAAAGTTTGAAATAAACACTTTAAGTTACTGGAAACAGAAAATATATAAAGAAATTATCATTTGCAAAATGTTTTCTGTGTCTTAAATTACTGCTTTTCTACATAATCAGTAACTCCCATTTCCCTACTTCTATGAAATCCCACCATACAAATATAGGAAAGAAAAACATGTACAAATTCTAAGACATTGTACTGTACACCCTTAAAACGGTAGATATTCTGTATATATACAACACATATACAGTACACAGTCTCCCTTTACCGTAGTGGTCTGGCTACTAGTTGTGCTTTTCTCCCAGTTTAGGAAGTTTACTGTTGTTTAGTTCCATAAAAGTTTTCATGAAACATATGACTTGCTAATAGCAAACAGCTCAAAAAGTAGTGCATTCAATATTTAAGCATTATATTCTTAACAGAGTGATAACAAACCTTAATCTTAAGGTCAAATAGTCTTTGACTAACAATATAGAACTGAATTTTTAAGCATTAAAAAATGTCTTTATCTACAACTATCTTTTAAAAAGGGTAAAACTTCAGCTCATATTTGAGCCAAATCTCAGCTCAGACATCATTCTGAAGATGAATTTTCTTTCATTTTATCAGTTTTGAAAGCCTTTCTCAGTTTCAGCTGAGATAAAACCAGGAAGAAGGCACTGGCAGAGCACCTGTTCCTTGGTGTTTCAAAGCCCAGTTAACTGCAGTGTGCCTGAATGAAAAGTACCCAAATTAGGTGCATAGCCTACAAAAATTCTATTGTAGCTTGCCTTATGCCTTATTCATAAAATGGTATTGCATTTATTGCCATGTCTATACAGTATTCCCACTGATTACATAACCCGCGACTGTTATTCATTTCTGCCCACCAACAGTGATATACAACTTTAAAATCAAGTTTGCCTGACTAATAACTGCAGGTCCATATACTTCCAGATAGAAGACACTCATACAGCAAGGGAGGTCACATTCACATGTTTTGAATCTTTAGAAGGTGATTACTTTTGCATTACAGTTGCTGTATTTCCTATAGATAGGTACACAAAGAAACACTGGTAAAAATAGTCATCATTTCCAGACTTGTAGAAACATTAACATGTATGAAATTACTGCTCCAAGGCTAAAATCTTCCTGCCCCATTGGCAGAAATATTAATTCTCAGAAAGTGTTCCCATCACCTATAGTGTAACAACTCTGGAATGAAGAAACCTTGAAATTGCCACCACAAAGGTGTGGAAAATGCTGTGCTTCTGCATGAGTGTGCTGGTGCTCTCAGTGAGCCATAAAAAAGTCAAAGCCAGCTGCCAAACAGAGTGATGGAAAGAACATTAGTAAGTGAAACTCAGCAGCTTTATCTCACCCTTTCTGTGGTGAGAGTTGAGTACTTCAGGGACACCAACACGATATATTCTTCACAGTACACCTGACCATTACTTGCACATTGCTTAAATCTTTTTTCAGTAACAATGCAACCAAAACCCCGGTTTGACCAACCTACAGTTTGTTAAAATATGACACTGTAACAAAAGAAATGATGATGAGATGAGCTCCCTCAGAGCACAAGTACTTGCTTTCAAGATATAAACTAACCGCATTAAAAAAACATAATCAGCACATCACAAAATACAGTTCTGGTAATTGACTCGCTCAGTATCCATCTCAGCTGTTACTTGTTCCTCCTGTTTGCAGAACATTAGGCAAGGGAAGAAATCTTCCTACTCTCTTCCTCAGGTTGAAATGAAACACCAAGCCAAAAGCTGCAGATGAAGATCATGATTTCTGATCTTCCTCTGGTGGGATGACTTCCAAGAGGATTTGCAATGCTTCAGTTACCCTGACTGCAAAGATAAAAGCATACACATGGGAAATTTGGGTGGTGGGGAATGAGAGTGAAGAAGCAGGCAGGAAAACTACCTTAGCTGCTATAGAGCCTACTTTCATATACAGTTCATAGCAGTCATATATACCTAGTGTGTATTTCATTCAAATGTCTGATTCAGTTTTTTCTTTTTAACTATGTTTTCTTTGCCTCTGGTCCAAGAATACACATATACAATAGTAATGGAAGGGTATGAAGTTATAAAGTTGTCAAATAAAGGTCTGCATGTATTTAAAGGTTATCTTAAAGCTTCACTAATCTGTACCACTGCTTAGTTTTAACAAATTGCAGTGTTGAAATAGAAGTCTGAAAGAGTTCAAACAATTTAATTCAGCTATGCCAAGATCTGCCTGAGCTAAAAAAAAATAAAAATTAAAGAAAAAAGAAAAAAAGAAAGTATTATTAGAAATCTTTATGGCACTGTTAATTTACATATAAGAATAGTAAAAGAGCACTCTCTTATGACTTCTTTCGCTTGTCAGTTCTTTTTTTTTATTTGTAACCCATTTAAAGCAAGCAGGAATTGCTGTAAGACAAAGTTCTGATTTTCCTTGTCTAGCACTGCATGTCGGCATTTACAGCCGTGTAAAGCCAGGAGGGTAAAGCTGTGCAACTCACAGAAGATACAAACTGAAACTACTTTCCTGCTCTCCTGTTTAAGGCAGACTCTACCTTCTTTTGCTCTTCTCTCTGGAGGTCACCAGTTCAGTGCAAAGCCAGGTTGCCCTTAGACTATAAACTAGTGGGGTCAGAGAGGCTGAGAGTCAACAGGGGCTGCATTTCCCTTCCCTATCCATGGCAGCGACTTCAGAGTTGGGCTGAGCATGGCCAGGGTAAGGGCAGAAGGAACGCCAGCAGCAAGAAGCCAGCAGGGATTTACCCTTGCCATCCCACCCCTTCCATGTTTGAGGCTGAGCAAAGGAAGAGAAAGAAAAACAGACTTTCTGTCAAGCTGAGCTATAGTGTTACAGCTCTTGGAAAAGGGCACAGCAGCAGATTTAAAGCCTGGGCATCTCAAGAGCAGGCTGTGATCTTAATATCCTGTTCGACTAACTGGACCAAGCCACCTGCAGCAACACCCTGCGCTCACTGTGGCAGGAGGCGGCCACCACTCTTCCATTTCCATGTTGTAGTTTTTCTCTGTGCTGGGATGAAGAAATGCAGGAGCAATCAGACAAGTTGGTGGGGCTGGGGTGCTTGTTTGATTTTCTTGGTTGCAATATACACAGCATAAGACAATGCAAGGAGTATTTTCCCCTCCCAAAAAAAAGATGTCTCCAGTCAGTATCTCTATATCATCTGCTTTAAGCAGAACCTGGAGGTATAGGACCAGCTTCAAATTTTAACAAGACAACATATCATAACGGTAAAGATGACTTACACACACACACACATCCCCACCCCTTTGAACCCTAATTTTCCCTTTCAAGAAGAGAATTCACTGTAAATAGGTCCCTGGGGCCAATCTTTATAAAAACCCCAGATCTGATATCTATATAAGCACCACATAATGCTTGGGTGAGAAAGGAACACAGTAATTTACTGCACATGTATAAGACTGGACATGAAATCTGTGGCAGCAGAATGCTGAAATGATTTCCTGTGGAACTCAACATCACAAACTCAGCAAATAGAAACAAACTGAGCATACAACACTATGTCCTGTCTGAGGAAGTGTCATCCTTTGGTGTCTCTAAATAACCCTGAAAGAGATATTTTGTTATATCAACAGATCTCTTTTCTAGCATGGGCTATGGAAAAAGCAGGATTCAACTTTTAAACTCCTCACAATTCAATCCACTGTAAAGAAACAGGTGTTTTGAATATGAGTCTAAGGTTGGGTTTTGAACTGAGGAGGTCAAAATAGAAGCATTCTCATGCTGGTGCTGCATCCTTTTACACACTGATCAGCTTTGTAGGATTTGCTAGGCTCGATTTTTTTTCATTTTTACATTAGTTCTACAAAAAGCAAGAAAGCAGAGGTGAAAAGGAGCCTGTACTCCTTGAAAAATAGTTGTCCCAGCACATCTGGTGCTACAGTAAAATTTCTTCAGAAGAGGAGAGAGCAAAAATATTATTCTCACTGCAAAATACCACCCAAACCCTATTAACCTCACAAACTGTGAAGTTACCTTTTGCTCAATACAGAAATTTGATAAGGAGAACGGGCAGTGTAAATGTCACTAAGGACAGTCAAAATGTATGGAACAAAGATGTTTAGCCTTAGAGAGGATTTCTTGGGTAAACTATGCCAGGGCTCTGCTACTGTAAGCAGCCTGAGACCCCTTTGACAACTGTACTCATCTTCAGGCTGGGTCTTTCATGCCATTACTCATCCTAGCTGTTCAACATTACTCTCCTCTGATCCTTACAAAACCTATTCTGGATATCCTGTCTAGTCTTACACGGGGCTGGTCTGTACCCATGTGTTTTTGCGCCAATGTTGTCCTTAGATAGCACATGCTCCACGTAAGGTTTGTAAGCAGCAGTCATGTCTCATCTCTGAAGCTTGTCTGGGTAGCTGAGCAAGTCAAGCTTCCCAGCAAGCTGACTTTGCAAATGGGTAAAGAGAGCCCCATATCACTCTGTTCATGTGCTGAGCTGCACAGCTGAAGTAGCCTGGGAATAGTCTTGTTAGCATGATGCTGTGTTCAAACTAACAGGCTTTAACTTCTCCTGTGGTACTACACCAAGTGCTTTCTTGAAGTCTAAGTAGATTGGATCTATCACACTCTCCTTTGGAAAAATCTGTTATCTTCTCAGAGAAAGTTACCTGGTTAATCTGGCAAAAGTCTACCTCTGGTAAATTACAATTATTGTTTCAAGGTTAGAATACCAAGGTTGCAGCTGGCAATGACTTGACTTCTCTGTATCTCACAGAGGTACCTTAAGTGAATTTATCCTCATTCAATGCCTTTCAAAAATGCTCTCAGGCTATACAGTGGAGCTCCCTTAACACTCACAAAATAATGCCAGTTTAATGACTCCATGCAGAAGGTTTATTCCCTCTTCTGAGGAAAAGAAAAAAATTACCTTTTTATTTAACAAGTAAATCTCCACTCTGCTCCACCCCAAAACTGTCAACATCAGTTTTCTGTCATTACTGTTGTTATTTTGGGAATGCTAACTGCAAAGCAAACAAGCTGTTTCACCCACTAACTGGCATCCGCTGCTTTCCCCTCCAAGCCAGCACACTGTATCCATTCACACGTATTACACAGGCACCAGGCCTTTCTAGGAGGAGAATTTTGTATTATCTGAAAAGCTTTAAGATTCATCTCCATTGTCACAGCTGGCAGAAAAAGCTTCACATCTACCCAGTCTACCTTAAAGAGAATATTTTTTCCTCTCACCCAAGTTAACGTAGTTCAACACTGGCATCCTGTGGCCAGAAATTCAAGTAACTGCATTCCAAGACCTCTGAAACTTCACAGAAAATGCCAAAAATCTCTCAGGTTTGATAAGGGAAAATTTCCTAGTCCCTAAATGTCAAGGCTGAGAAATTATAAACAGACAAAAAGCAATTGTTTAATAGAATGTGCTTTTGTATACAGCTGTTTTCATTTTCAATGGAGCTTTTTATGCATTCCCAGGACACTGCAAGTAATTTATAACTTTATGGATATAAAATTAAGACAGCCAGAGTGTGCTAGCCTTAAACTAACATCTTTTTATGTAAATACTTTCTGCTTTATTGTCTATGGAATTCCCAGCCTGAATTGAGAAGGAAATGCATAGATGCCATATAGGATGTCACTATGTAACCTATATATACACACATATAGGAAGAACATATAAAAGGTTATAGTATTATATATATGTACAATTTCATTTTTTTATTGATTTTAAATCATCCCTTAAGACTGAAGCACAGAAAAAAATATGCATTTTTAATTCAGCACCTATACAAACAAACAACTTTTAGTTTAAATCATTCATGGATTGAGGGGGTTTTTGCAGTAAAAGATACTTTCTTTCAGTTTTGTTGAATATGCCATTCCTCAAATATTTTGCCTATATTCTTGTCTCACATTTTGAAAATTACCTCCATTTTGGAAACTTCCTATGATGTTGAGTAATAAAAAAGAGAAGAATAATGGGGAGTTGTAATAAGTGACATTGACTTCTTTCTAATTGACATGCTCCAAATAGCCCTTTTCCAACACACCAGAACGTCCATAAATGCTTTTGAAAACTTTCAGAAATGTTATAAAAATTCTTCTCAATGTGTTTCTGATGTGAAATACTACAGCCAAGTTACTCAAACGTCATTTTTCACAAAGCACAGAAACAATTTCCACAGAGGTGTGTCAGGCACAGTATATTTTACTATCATTTTGCCAGGAGCCACCACTGAGGACAATATCTCCATATCAAACCTGCCTGAGCCTTTCCCATTCCAAACACTACTCACTGGTCCACAGACACGTGGTCTCAGCAGG